ATAACCAAGCCCTACAAGATCTGCAAAAGTTGTTGTCTAGATAGATCAGAGCAACTCAGTGCCCTGACTGGTGCAAAGCCTGCTGTGTGTGCTCATAGCTCAGTACGGGCTCCAGAAAGTCATCTCTGGAGAAAGGATTTCTGCACAATTCAGCTGCAGAAACAGAATCTGGCAGCATGCACAATCAGCCATTAAGCTACACATCCAGGTGAAGCCAGGCTCCAGAGCTCGTGGCCGTTGTAACAGCCCTGCTGCATCACGCAAGTTACATGTGACCGTCCGCATGGACCCGAGGGATAATATGATGCTTTGTTTACAAGGTAAACATTTGACTGGCCTCGCTGTACCTTCACCTGAATTACTAATAACTTACTGCAGTGTGTCATTTGAAGCAAATTGTGGCGTTAATTATGATAATAAACCCATGCAGGTTTATTATCCATCCAGGAGGACCCTGCGGAGCAGATGCTGGAGCACGCTCTGCTCCCAGGAGCGCTGACGCTACTGCGCAAGCCTTGGCTGGTTGAGGACATTTTGCAAGAACTGGTTCCTCACCTCCTAAACCTGCATTTCTCCCCCTTAGGCTCACATCCTGTATTGCTGCCTCTGCAGAGCCCACAGCTTCAGAGGTATCTGTGCAGCTTCCCTGTGCAGGAGGAGGTTGCTCCAGGCTTTTCTGGGTCTGCAAGGTTTGGTTGCCCTTTACAGGTTTCTGCAGTGCCTCTTTGACAGGGGCTGAAATTAAAACAGGAGAGGGTAGCAAGTGTGTCACTGTCTGTCACTCTCTGAGTCACGAGAGGTGTAGTGGCTGCAGGGATGTTTCAGCCCCAGGGATCTTGAGGGGCTGAACCCAGCCCACCCGCTTTCCTGCCCCTGAGGAGGGGAAAGGGCTTCCTCCGTGCCCCAGCCTCTCAGAGCTCCCCATTTCCCACCTGATTTATCTGCACTGAGCCAACTGCTTATCTGCTAAAACCATACCATGGGCAGGTTCTCCGTGACTCCCTGAAGCTATGGAGAATATCAGAAGACTAGTGGGAAACTTCAGAAGCTGCAGTTCCTTCCACAAACCGGAGATAAAATTTCCTTTTATGACAAGTGCAGAAGAAAGCAGCCACCTGATTCACCTTTCACAGTAACATTCTAATCTACCAGTGGCATATTGTTTATTGAAACGAAAACTGAATATAATCCACAATTGAGGTTACCAAATACGCTTATATAAAGCCTTTCAGAGCAGCAGCACATCAGCTGTTGGGGGCTGCTACTAGAAACTAGGGTTTCTTTGTTTCTTAGCAGCAGATGATTTCCTCTCCTGGGGCAATTGTGTAGCCTAATTGCCTGTAATAATCACCCCTTCTAGAAGTGCCCTAATGCCAACCCTTCTCCTTTTTGCACTCTTTGCTGACTTTCAGCCTCCAAGTAGCAGAAGCTGACTCTACATCGCTAGGAAACATAAGTAATATTTAAGAATATATGTTTTAATATCTAATGCCCTACTTTGATGCTGTTATTGGTACCCAATCTGTTATTAAAAAAAAAGACAAAAACATTAAAACAAGGGAGAAAAATGATAATGTTAATTCTGAAATGTGACCTGTTCCTAAAAGATTCATTGTCCTCCTAGCTACTCACAGTTGTTTGTGGTGTATTTTTATTTTTAACAGTCCTTCGTATATATTCTTTTCATAAGATACCAGTTAGATGTACCAGTGGTGGACACTGCTGTGCTGCATTGCAACTAGTGTTAAAAGTAAACCAGAAAACCCCCTAGAAAAGTCATATGGTGTACTGGACATGGTCAGCATGGATCAGACAACATAACACATCTTTGTCACTGCTGACTTTTGTGGTTTGATATAGACGTTACCAGTGTTTTCTTCCCTGCAGACAGTGTAGAAACACCTGATCACTCACAAATACCTGTTGCAGCACTCGCATATGTGAACAGTGACCAGTGTAGCTTGACTTTTGGACAAAGTGCAGCGAAATATTTAACTGCACAGGTTCAAAGAAAAGGTCCATCCTGCCTAGTATTTTTTTTTCTCTCAGTAGCCTCAGAAGGATCTCAGGGATCCTTCCCCTATGTGAAATTCTTCACAAAGCTGCAGCCCTGGGAATTTCTGTGTCTAGCGCTGCTGCGGTACCAATATATATTTTGAACATATCTTGCTTAGAGGCTGAATGCTTAAAATTCAGGTACTGGCAATAGATACACAAGAAGTGCACAGACAGGTCAAAATCGCATCCAAAAGGTCCCTGAAGAAGGACCAGAAATCTCCAGAAATACATGAAAAGAGAGTTCCCAGGTGAAGCATATAAAAATGTCTGAGAAGAGGGTTACTCATCTCCCTGCTGCCTGCTTCCATAGATCCTCTCTACCTCAGTAAAGTGGAAGGCAAAGCTGCATATTCTGTTTGCTTTTAAAGGCAGAGATATAATTGCAAGGGTCCAATGATCATGTCAATGAGTATGTCTTTTCCAGGAGACCATTGCAAGCCTTCACCATTAATTTTGTCTGGAAGGAAGGCCTTTTATTCTGATTAAGTCATATTTTAGAACTCAGGAAGGGCTATACTGCTTACTAAGGAAAATATTATTGCAGTTTGATGTATGCTCTTGATAGTGGCAGGAACTGCTCTCTGTTAGAAGCTGTACACCATGACGAGGATGTGGGTGTGTTCAAAGAAGAGGTATAAATTCCTTGAATTTGGAAATTTAACAAAAATACAAAATATCAGGTCTTGAGGTCCAGCCCAGGTGCTTTCCAGTGTCATCTAATTTCGTCAGCTGGTGGCCTGTACTACCTTATACAGGCTGAAGATCCCCCAAGGATGGAGGATTTACACCAACTAAAAGTCACCTTGGCAGGGTGATCAGGGTGTCTCTTAGGCCCCTTTGCCTAGTGAATGGTCTCAGTATATATGGCTGTATCCAGACAAGCATTAGGTTCTCTGATAGTGAAAGGACAGAGGGCAGGGGAGACTTTAAAGGCAAATACCGAATACAACTCGTGGGCTAGAGCAAAAATACAGGAAGGCAGCCGTTGTCTGAAACCAAAATTAAATGTTACCTGCATAAAAATGCCATCTCTATTAGCTTTCAAGAAATGCTTTCCTCTTTAGGTGTTTGGCTAAGACAGTATTAAGTTATAGAGCCTTGATGTGGGTAAGTGAGCAAGGAACACTGAGTACTCAAGAATCCCAAGCTAAGGAGCCAACAGCTGACAAAACTATGTCAAATAAAGCTGAGTAAACCTGAAGGGTTTTTTCATCCCACACAAATCATACAACAGAGACAACATTATTTCGGGCCCTATCACTTTACACATGCAGAAATACTAGTCATAGCTATGTGGCTTGAAGAGAGATGTGGATGAAACTTAGAGTTAACTCTAAGCTGGCCCTTTCTATGAGGGATGTCAGTCTTTTGTTATCACAAATTCCCCCAAACAGAAACACTCTTGCCCTTTCTCCAGGAAGATTTCATTGCCTGACCATCATTTTTCAGGCATAAACAAAACAGGTCTGGACACTGGAAGCCACTGATTTTTGCACGCCTCTGAGAGAACCAGAAAATCCAGCAGAGGAGAACCTTCCCTCTGAATATGGTGTTTATGAATGTATTTATGCAGCGGGATATTACTGCAGAGTGAAAACTCAGAGAGATAGAGCAGCCACTGAAAGCAGTTCTGCAAACTGCTACCCTTATGTAATTCACAGAGGTTGTGCTGCTGCTGGAAAAGGAGCGATGCTGTGCTTAACTTTATTAGGAAACTGTAAACATTGGGCCAAACTGCTGTGGTGGTAGCTCTGTCCAATTCAGTGTGATGAGATGAGAGCTAAATTTGTCACTTTGTGATAGTCTCCCTTGGGAAGCTGCATGGCTGCTTCGGAGTCCCTCAGGATTTGTACCGCCCTTGACTTTCCTTGCTGTTTGCACGACAGTGGGAATTGTGACTCCCAGGCTGCTTTATAAGCATCATGCCAGTGCAGCACATATTGCTGAAGGATCTGAAACATACAGTACCTCTGCTTAGCTGGATGATGTGGACATGGTGCCAACTTCTGGAAGATGTGGGCATAGTGTGACCAAGATACATCTCTATTTGATGGGCAGGAAGAAAAAAATCTCACCGTATGTTACCTTATGGTTTAATTGTCTTCAACCTTACTCAGCTGCTCCTCCTGAAATATGTTTCTGTATTTACTTTTGATATATACTTTTAATTAGAGACAGCACCTAGGCCTTCATGTTGAAGTGTCAGATTCTCTTCTGGAGGCATGGTGTGCAGCTCTCTTCAAAAAACACAGCAGCACAAGAAAAGATGCCTTCATTGACACCTACTGATTTTTCTATTCATTGTGTGAAAGAGGAAGTAGGGAAGTGGGTTTCTGATTCTACAGCTGAATTTGTGCACATCTCTTTTGTAGGAAAAGGAGTACTGCTCTTCCAAGATTTATGGTCTACCATTTCTACTTTAATGAGGATTGGACTGTGCGCTCCTGCAGTTTTTCGAGCACGCACGGGGGACTGAAACTCAGCATGGCATTGGTGCTGGGCACTCTGCATTCTTGCACAGTTGCCTCAGCTGCTGTCCTCTCTCCCCTCAGCCAGGACGATTAGCCAACAAGTGTATCTATCTTGTAAGCATGTGGGTTGTCGCTCCAACTATGCGCAGTCACCCACACTCAGTCATGCAGGCTGAAAAAGCCAAAGGCATGGTTTTGCAGGCATGGCAGCAATGAAGTCAAAATTAAAAATGAAACAGAGAAGAAACATAAAACTGAAGTGTAACCACGCTGTATGTGATTGCAGTTCACGATTTTCTTCACGGGGCCTGCGAGCTCTTCATTAGGTGTGATCCCTCGAAAGATAAAACAACCATGGAGTTTGGGAAGCTATTTATCCGTAAAATCAGGGGCTGTTTGCCCTTCACAAGAGTAAAATGTAGGGCAGACCTGTCCCATGTGCTGCATGCAGTGTGAAATCTGGGGACTGAGGATGAGCACAGTTGGTGAGTCGGTAAGTAAGCAGAGAGCCCAGAGCATGCAGGAACCCCAAGCTGAGGAGCCAACAGCTGACAGCTTTTGCCCCTGTTTCCCCATTGTTTTTCCTCTTTGGCTGGGCAGAGGAGGGTGGTTGGCAAGGAGGACCCTCCACCACCTTTTTCCCTCTGTTCCCAGGGGTCCAGGTGGGTGGTGAATTCCCCTCTTTGTGGGTAAGCTGTTTCCTTTGTATCTTTGTGCTTGCTGCTATTTCCTTGTCATTAAATTGTTATTTTTCCACTTATACCTGCTCACATTTTGTCTCCCCATATTGGTGGGGAATAAAAGTAGAGGGAGTTTATTTTATTGGAGTTCCTGCCCCAAAATTAACCTTTAAACCAAGACAGTTAGCAGGGTTTATTATTAATTATTATTATTAATGTTGTTGTCATTATTACTACTACTACTACTATTATTATTATTATTACCACTATTATTATTATTATACCTCTGCCCAGAATATGGCCCTTGTGTTACTTACTGGCTATGTAAAGAGGGGTATTTTACTCCCACAGAAAGGACTTTTTTCCTCCAAAGATTTTACAGGACCCAGCAAGGGACCAGCATCCTGGCAAGTCTTAGTAAAATGTAGGTAATTCCACTATTGTTCTTTCCTAAGGGTATTGCTGTATCTTTTTTTCCTATGAACATTTGGCCATATCTTTCTGTAGTGTTGTCCCAGTTAGGACAACTGAGACCAGTTCATCATGGTATGGGTGTAACCCAAAACTGTGTATTCTATAGCCTTCCATGCCATTACCCAGAAACTGTTGTCAATAGACTATTCACACCCTCTGCCCATAGAGCCTGACTCCTCAGGCTATAAACTAGGTGTTAAGAGGCCTGTGAGATAGGAGGATGCTCTTGTCCTCACACCCTTTGTGGAACTCCCCGCCCTGAGGGGAGTATTGAGCATTCCTGCCTGAACTGGAGGATATATAATCTTGGAGTCTTGGAACATTTTTAACCACTAGTGGGATCCAGAGGAAGACTGCAGCTCATCGCTCTCAACCTCAGCTGGACTGCAATCACCGCTTCTGACCAGACTGCAGCAGCTCTCCCACCAGCAGGTTTTTTTTCCCCTCTCCCTTTACTTTGGACTCAAGCGGGGTCCAAGGAACACCACTTTGTTCATGCCCCAGGGTACTGGGTTGTACATTTGGGTTTGGTGGGTTAAGACCAATTGTTTGTTTGTATGATTGTACTTACTGTATTATTTTAATAAATTGTTATTCTGACTTATGATCTCTCCTTTGAGTTGGGTTCATTTCCCCTGCTGGTTAACTCTTAAACCAGCACAAGTGTCTTTGAAGAGAACTGCAGTGAATGACACTTGTATCTGGCTTGCTTGCCAGAAGAGTGCAGATGCTGCAAAGAGAATTTCTGTGTCCAGGTTGACTTTGACTCTTTGAGTGTTCACAAAAGATCCCTGGGTCACCACAGTCTTTCTGCAGAAACAGTGTTCCATGGGCAAAAACCACCACCATATTCTCTTTAGGGTAAGAGGAAGGCAAAGGCAAAGTGAGCTTTCTTACGAAATCATGTGCTCAGTGAGTGATGCCTGCAGGTCAAAGTCTGTAGCTCGTGGTAATTTTTTTCATCTCTGGTTTTGAAGCCTTGCATCAGCTAAACTGGAGACAGCATTTCAGAGCAAAAGTGAGCTTTCAGATACCCTGACACCCTTCTATAACTACACTCTGTGAAAAAGCATTAAAACTTCTGCCTTAAAGATAAGTGTGGTGGGTCTGCAGCTATTTTTAGGGTGGGCCAGGTTAATTATTTCATCTTAAGGAAGGAGAAATGAGGAAAGTAGCTTCTTTGTGTTCTGTCTTTTGACACAGTGAAGTGCATGACATATTAAGTCTTTAAACTAGTTTGTGGAGGGAAAAAGCACCATTGGATGTAGTTAAAAATTAATTTTGCCTGTGTGTTCACTTCACTTTAGAAAGAAAGCCAAATTGAGATCCAGAACATCTTTCCCAAGTATTGCAGGCTCACAGTATCTCTAATATTTCTTTAAAATTTCGTCGTAAAAATATATTAAAATTATGGGGATACTGCTACAGAGAAACTAATTGCTAAAAAAAAAAAAAAAAAAAAAAAAGATAAATTAAACTAACTGTGCAACACTGGAGGAAATCAGCCAACAGAAAACTGCTTCTGCTCCTGGGATGCTGTGCCTTAAAGGAAAGAAGACCAAAGGACAACTAATTTGCATTCTACTAAGGAGAAGTTTTTAAGGCAGATTTTAATTCTGTGTATAACAAAACTCCTCAGGGAGTACGAAGTCAGTTTCTAAAACTGACAACCAATATTTTCTAGGAATTGTTTACTAGTGAAAAATGCATATTTAATAAAATGGCTGACAATGAAAGTTGAAAGTGTTGTGAACTGACCAGTAATGGATCTGAAAATGTTTACTTGGGACACATAACTGTGTCCCATTGCTTTCGAAATACCCCTCACCCACTGCTTTGGAAAAGACTCCATAAAGCATTTCTTGTAACTGAGAAAAGTAACTTTATTTTGCAACAAACCTTTTCCTGTGAAAGACAGGCTGGTCCACAGTTACTACGTGTTGAAAGGACATATGAAGCCAACAGGATAAGTGCACTGGGTCTCATTTCCACCACCCAGGGCTTAGGACATTTGTCCCAGTCTTGGCAATGTGCCGGATGCTGGGATGAGAATGTCCAGAGTCTGGAGATGGACTGCTGAGAAGGGATCTTTACCTAGAAGGGCAGCGCTCACCTCAGCAAGCCAGAGCTCCCTGATGGCAATAAATGTCAAGTCTGTCATTTAGGATGGAATGACCCCATGCAGCAGTGTGAGCTGGAGGCTGCTGGTCCAAAGTAGTTTCTGTGCATAAAAGGTGGTGAGGGTCCTGCTGGTCAGCACACTGGTGGGCCAGCCAGCAACCAAATTGCACCCTGGTCTGCTTCGAGGGACATGGTCTTTATCTCTCTTCTCAGCACTGGTGAGGCTGCAGCTGGAGTCCTGGATCCTGCAGATGAGAGATACCCATAACCTGGAGTGGGTCCAGGCATTGAGGGGACTGGAGTACTTGATTAGTTGCCTCTGTCAACTCCCTAACCTGTGGCTGTAGTGAAGATGGGAGCCCAGCTCCACTGGGCCTTGCACAGCAAGAGAATGAGAGGCAAACTGCCACAAACTTCATCAAGGAAAACTGGAGCAAGCTATAAAGAAAATCAGTTTTTCCCTGATGGGCACTGAACACTGGGACAGGCTGCTACCCCCATCCCTGGAGACACTCAAAGCGGGACAGAAAATGGTCCTGGTCTCACTTTAGAGACAACAAGCCCCATTTTGAGGAGGAGGGTGGACTGAGTGGCTTCCTGGCAAAGTAAACTTTTCAAATCAAAATTACCCCATTTTTTTACCCATAAGTTACCTATTAGCCTTCCTATTCTGCAGGTGCTGTCAAGTCATACTTATTTCAGGGCCTTGATACCCAAGGGAGATTCAGCTGCCTGATTGCTACTCAGGATGGACTGAAGAGGAAAGCCTTCTTAGATCACATCCTCCTTTACCAATCTCCTGGGGCTGCCATGAGTTAATTCACCCTTTCATCTTAGTTCCCAACTGGCTCCTAAAGACAGATTTAAGGCCAGAGGAACGCAAATCAGCCCTCAGTGTCACTAAGGATCAGGTATCAGAGCCTGCTAATAGAAATAGCTGGCCAAGCATTTGAAAATTTATTTCAGGTGTGTACCCATGAAGGATACGCTTCTCCTGGCTTATGCTGCTCTCACCCACTGGGTGACTGGAGGGTGTTTGTGGTGAAGAGCCAGCAATGCCTGGTCTGCAGATGTTCAGAGAGCATTCCACACCGCTTTTGTCTCCTGCTGCAGTCAGTGCGTGGGTCTGCGTGTGCGAAAAGCCACTAAAAGTCTTCTGTGCCCCAAGCATTCCTGCCTGATTAAAGACATCTTGGCCTCACATGAAACCCATATTCACACTGCGGTGTTTTGATCAGTGCTTTCTCCTCCCTGCCTCAGCATTGTCCCCTGATGCTGGCTCCTGCCAATGCTTTTCTGGCTACAGGACACACTTCACTTGGCAGAGACCCTGCAAATGCAGACACAGAACTTTTGCAAAGCTCCTACTCCACCTTTCTCTCTCCCCTTGCGGATGCATGCCTTACTCCTAAATTGTTTTAAATTTTTGTGGGTGCCGTCAATTCCAGAGAGTGCAGTGATGTCCATGTTGCATGTGGGTTCTCAAAACCCCATAGATGGGGTTCTCAAAATGTGCTCAAAAAGATGCTCTGTGTGTTGCCCTCTGTGGGAAACACCCATTGCCTTCTCGAGCCATACTGTTCCATTACGACAGTTTTTATTTGTCTCATTACAACACTAGACCCAATTGCACTGATCTGTGCTTATTTATAGGCAGCAGATGAGCTCAGGTCATTCACTTTTTCAGCAGCAAGAAGAGCCAGCTGTCATATAACTTAGACAAATCACGAAAAGTGATTTACATGTATTTTTTTTTGCAATGAAACTCACAGACATAAGTATTTCGACATAGTTCTCAAAGATGTCTGTAGTTCTCAAATGTCAGCCAGATGGATAAGTGTCTTGCAGTGCACATGGTTCCTTGGTCAGGTGCTGTATCATTCTTGATGTCTATGTTGATCTTCTTTAAAAATTAGCAATCATGTAATCACAGAACAAAGACAGCTGACACATTTAAGGTGACTATTTGCTACAGTAAATAGCTGATGTAAGTAATCTGAGAGTCAATGAAAGTCTAAGTGTTGTTCATATGAGCCCCTTACCAAACACTGCACATTGCTAAACTTGCAATATGCTTTACTGAGAGTAAAATGCAATCTGCTCACCTCAGTGAAGAACATATCTATAGGGGAGAACAAAACCACAGCAAAATTACAGATTTAATGTTTTTCCTCTGTGACAGGTTAATGAATTTTGCTCACTGGTACCGTGTGTCCCTGGATTAATTTGCTGTTTCACTTGCAGTATGTTACAGGAGCTCAGGGTATATCCTCCTATGATCCCTCTCTCTCACATTTCCAAATATGACCTCATTTCCTTGTTATGAAAAAGTCTTTTAGGTTTCTAGAGTAGTATGTCATGCTGGAAGCTCTGCAGCTTTGATTTTCAGTTCTACAGCACCGTTTGGGGTCTTTTTTTCTGTCCCTGCTCACGATCCTAAGAGTGAGAATGACACATACACAAGTATGATGTTACAGTGCTTACATTCTGTCAGACACACAGGAAAATCCCTGCTGGCAGGAGCATCAAGAAAACAGATTTCTTTGCAGGTCTGGCCTATGCTCTGTGTCCTACTATACAGCTTGAACCTGTGCAGGAATATCACTGACACTGAGTTGCTGAGGCTGGAAGGCTTATAACATAATAAAGGATTGCATCTTAAAAGTGAGATTTACTCAGTAGAAGCCTATTTGTGATATGCATTCTGCTTAAACACTTTAAAGTGTCTAATTGCCATTAAAGTGGTGCACAGACTTAAAGCTGATCCTCTGAACGCTGTAAGCATGAAGAAGGGGAGGTGCAAAGGAAGGGTTTCTGGCGTAATTTTGAACTGGCTTTTCTGTCTAGCTGTTGTGTCATTGCTGACTCATCTTTGGGTCAGAGGTGAAGAAAATGTGGGGTGTGGAAAGCCTGCTGTGGAGCAGAAGAAGGCTCCCTCCTTCTTCCTGCTGGGATTTTCTGCAGGGCAAGTGGAAACACGTTTTCACATTCAGGCTAACTCCTCCGACCGAGTGTGAAGGCTGCTGGGGAGTGCAGAGCTGCTCCACTGCGCCAGGGGATCTGCCCCAAAGCCAGCCCAGCAAATCCCCCTCTCCTTGCAGCAGCAGGGGCAGCAGCAGCAGGAGCAGGAGCAGCAGCAGCCTCTTGCACAGGCAGTCGTGCACCTTGGCAGCAGGCACCGCAGTGAGAGCAGAGCGGTTCAGGAATAAAAGGGCTGGATCCAGGCAGTCACATGGACAGAACAAAGCACAAACAAGGTCTGCAATTACTTAGCTGACTCCCTTCCCCGAAGCTGAGCACAAACACACATTAGAGCAAAGCCAGACTGGTAGCTTGGTTATTTTTTTTCCATCCTTTGGCCAGGGAGCTGGTGACGGCTCCGTTTGGACCGTGTGTCCTCAGCATTCCTGGGATCAGTCGTCAGGCTGGAGACTTGAAACAAGTGGTAAGCTGAAGCGTACTTTGTGAGGAGCTGCTGATTTCTCCTCCTTGATGTTGTTATTCCAGCCCTGGCTACGTTTCCTGAGGAACTTTCCGTTTAAATGGGTGTCTGAGATGATGGCCGAATGTATCAACAGTAGAGCACACATACAGGTGAGCACTCATTGGTATCCAAAAGGCATTTGAGCCACAGGTGTGCTGTAAAAGCTTTCAACCATTTTGGGCTTGTATGAGAATTGTCAGGACTCAAATTTTCCTCTTCTCATCAGAAATCTGCTTTTGTGAATGTGACTGTATCTTCTTATCAGTTTTCTCTTGCTTTGTGATTCCCTTGGCCTCGAAGCAACACCTCCCATGGCTTGAATTTCAAAAATTTACATTTCACAAAGCATCCCTCAGTACCCAGAGTGTAACCTGGTACTTCCAAGAGAGATACACTTGGTGCCTAGATTTCACTGTATCAAATGAGGACACAAAACAAGGCAAGCAGGGGCTCAGTGTGGTGGGAATAGCGCCCTATTTGCAGAAGGTCCCAGGTCCTTGTGCAGCAGCTGGAGTTGGGCAACCCCCAAGTGCCCTCTGCTCCATCCCTGAGCCACAGCTGTACCAGTGTGAGACTGTCAGGGCACTGCAACTGTGTGTGCCAGGCAAGCCTCAGAGCCATTTGTGTATTTCTTTTTATTACCTTCAGCTCCTCATGCTTTCCCAGTCCTTCAGGTATCTTAGAAAGCCTCTCAGCATCCTCCATGAATGCTCAGTACTGCCCTTTCCAGGGCATGCAAGGACAGAGCTTCTGCTCCGTGCAAAGGATGGCATGGTGCTATGACAGTAGCTTGAGGATGAGGCCAACTGGATGTCCACCAAGGACTTCACCAACATACACAGTATTTCTTCTCTTTAGAGCCTGTCTGCCAGGGGAGTATTGGAAATGTGTCTTCTGCTGAATTCAAGATTTTATACACATCCCAAACATTAATTAGCACCTTTATTTGTAACCCACAGAGCATGATGCCTCTGGCCTCTTTCCAGCTCTTTATAACTCCAGGGGAGTGGCTGGGGCACACTGCTGGAGAGGCAGTCAAAGGCTGTCCTTTCCCCCCCTGCCAGCCCAGCTGCTCACACTCATGCTGGGGGCTGCAGAGCAGCTGCTTCCCTGGCTGCCTGTGTGGAGGGTGCAGCCCCATGGTCTCCACGCTGCCGGCACAGCAGCGGGTGCAGGGGACACAGACCAATACCCCCAGGAACACTCCTGCCTCAAGGAGGTCCTGTGAGGGGCTGGGAGGAGCCTGGTGGTGCGTGGTGCCTGTCTGTGGGTTTTCATCTTCAGAGCTGATGGAAGCATGCCCAGCAGCTAGTTTTGGAGCCTGTGCACACATCTAGATTTGCTTGTGGTGGCTCTCGGGGGATATACCGTCTGTACAAGTGTCTTCAAGCATAATCCCACTAAAGTCGATTTAGAAAAGCTCCCAATGACTCTTAGCAGGTGTGGACTCATACCTGCAGCCATCTCCTGTTCCAGAAATCCTTACCATGCTGAAACACTGCTGAAGGGAGTGCAGACTGGGAGCCTTCAGAATCTGTTTTAGTGGCCTGCAAAACCAAGTACCAAGGGCAAAACTCTGGCCTATCAGTGGAGCTAGGAGCAAGTTAATAGCCCAAGACTTCCTTTCCTGCATTTTGTCCATGGGCATAGCAGGGAGTAGAGACAACTCCAGTGATGTGCAAATCAGTCCCTCCAGGTTGGTCCATTTGCAGAAGGGCAGCTCAGCCCAGAGGAGGGAAGGTGATCTTTAGAAGTCAGGTCCTGTCAAACCCAGTTTCTCTTGCATGCAGCTCTTACATGCATGCTCTGCCTGCTACACATTCAAAGCCTTAGTTGCTAAGGTACACAGTGTTTCAGGGTCACGACATAGCACTGGTTAAAAATCAAGTCTCCATACACTGTGTACTTTTGGTTATGCATTTGACCCAATGATTATTAAAAGGTTTTAGAAAGGCAGTATAATGAAAGACTGACGTTATTACAGCCACTTGCTGGCAGAAAGTGCAGGTGAACAGGTCAGTCTGCATAGTCAAGAAATGTGTTAAGTGCAGGTACCCAAATTTTCATTAAGTGAGCTCAATCAGCACAGCAAAAGGTCCATCAGTAGCTACATGTGTTCAACGTAAACAGCACTTTATCTCTCCCTGACATGTAGCAAAAGCGTATTTTTTTGTTCAGCTCTTCAGCTCTGGGAACATTAGGAGTGTCAGTGGTTTCACCATGATTTCACACACAAGATAAGGACTTCAAACCCCAGTCTTAGTACAGTACATGTCTATGTCAGGCATGGTCACAAACCCCGCTGGCTCCCCTTGCTCAAAGTGAGAGATGCTACATGTATGCTCACCTTCTTGAAAGGTCAAAGCCTTTCTTTGTAAACTGCTTGAGGTGAGTCATATTCTGTATTTCATGAAGAGTGATGCTTACTATGCTCATCTCTTTTGGAATACTAGCTGTGTTGTTCCAGATAATGCTGCTACCACTTCTACCAGGAGTGCTGGTGTAACCTGCAGTGTGGTTTCCACTATAAATCGTTATCTTTACGATCTCTGGTTGCATGTTTTGCTAATATGCACCTAAAAAATTCAGGGATTCTGAAAATGTCCCAAATGTCCCTTTCAGCCAAGTAGTCTGATGGCATAGTCTCGAGAAACTAGATGAAAGGAAGAGGGAATCATTCTCTTGCTCGAGTGGGAGGTGTGGGTACTGTTGGGAGTTGCTGCCCAGCTTCTGCTGCAAACTGGTGTTAACAGCGTCACTTTACTGATATCAGCATCCCCATTCATGTTTTCTGTTCTCTTTGGAGACAAAACAAGGATTGGATCATTACATATTTTGCACTTTGGCCTTGCTGCAAGGTCTGTTTGGCTCACTGTATCCCACCAGAGCTTGATAACCTCCAACTGATACCCTTCAACTGACATACCCAGTGAGTGTATCTGATCTCAGCCAGTCTGAGCTCTTTCTTCAGCTGTCAGCTGAAGGGAAACACACTCCCTTGGTGCAACTCAGGTCCTGAATACCCGTCACAAGTTGCCTAACATTTTCTGCTCATTTTAGAGATAGATGACTATGTTGGGGCATTAAACTGGGGGCTAAGGCTGGACCATCAGTTCATTTTAACCATTGATTAAGATATTTTAAATTTTACCAAGCTCCAGCAAAACGAGGTCTTTGCAGGTGAGCCAGATAATGCACAATAACATTAATTAATTTCCTTGCATCTGACTTTGATTAAAACTATCAGATAAATTCATCAGCTTTATGTCAGTTCCTTCCTGCTGACACTGTAATTGTTGCATTTGCAATTTTATAATCTGAAGGGGAGGGTGATAAAGGCTAACTGAAACAGTTAGCAGAGTTCTAAAGAAAGCACCTCACAACTATCTTAGTATCTAGCACCACTGGAAATTCACAGCATATTTCTGCAGGAGCCTATCAGCTCTGAAGATGCCATGGCACTGCAAGGACCATGCTGCCCTTAAGCTTGTTTTGTGTTTTGGGGCAACTGCTGATGCTCCCTAAATATCACAGCTAGCCAAAACCTCTGGTAGAAGATGTAGAAGCTGAAAAATTTCTGTGTATATTTGAGGGAAGCAGTTTTGCATCTGGAAATGATGCCTACTTCTTGGATTTCATCTTCCGGATTTCTGGTTATCTTACACGGAGTCGCAGGAGGAGCGTTGAACTCAGTTGATTTGGTGCCTTTAATGAACTGACCCTGGCAACATCATGCAAGCTTCAAGCAATGTGAAAGCATGTAAAAGCACTTGGAAGAGAAGGCACAGGGCCTTTGAAAAGGGATCTTACAACCACTGTGGGAGGTAGTGATTTTTCTGCAGCCCCATTACTGCACAGGAAACAAGACACTGCTGGAGCAGAGAGAATGGCAAGGCAGTGGAGCCTTAGTGCCTGGTTTTCTGGTGTAGACTGAGTGACAACATGTGCAGGGTAGGTAACAAGTCACACCGCTGTCTCATTCGTGTTAGCCTCCATCTCATACTAAGTTGTTTTCAAGAGCAATTCTTCTTTTAACCTGCGTGTATAAGCCCATAATTAGCGTAAGGGAAAAATACCACCGTATACCCCATCACCTGCTCTCAATTTCCATTCCCCCAGATATGTGCCTTTACAAATGACCTAGTGCAGAGGATGCTGACATGGTCCTTGCCACATATCCAACTACACAGGTGCTGCACCTCTCTTGTCTGTATAAGAACTCCATGGGTACATGTGAAAAAACATTAGTAAGTTCTTCTCCTCAAGGCTTGGGACAAGGGCTGATTTCTCCCTCATGTAACCATTTCTGTGATCTTCACAGCTGTTACCTGACTATTCATGCAGACAATAACATTTTTTTATGTGTAAAACTTGTTCTTTGACAAGTCTGATAAAGGTGCCGATTTTTGCTGACGAGGCTTTTATTTTAAGGCATTTTTGGTTGTTACTGATTAATAGATTGCTGTTATAACTTACATCCTGTAAATTTAAGGCACGTTTTTAAGGGGCAGAAAAGCAAGACAGTTCACCTGCTCTCTGTGTCAAGGAAGATTAATTTAGCTGTACCCACCTGAGGAGGTGCAAGAACATTTGCCATTTAAATGTATGTCTTCTTATATGTCACAAAAATCACAGAAAAGCACAAATTTTATGGCCCCTCTAGTGCCGCAGTCTGACTGACTGTTCCCACCTGGCTGCCACCTCTGAGTGCTGGACTTCTCTCAGCTTGTATGATTGCTTATGGGGTGCAAACCTGGGACTACATCAGGAGGTCAGTGTTTGACAGGAAAGACAAGAAAATGAGAGTTCTGTGGTAGTTCCTCAAATGACATTATCATCTATTCATATAGGAATGGGGAAGAAGAAAATAGCTAGCAGGGTACTCAATAAAGGGCTTCTGAGTTCTTTTTTAGACTTCTCTGTCTTAGTTTACAGTACAAGCAACCAGCATAAAAAGTGGATGTGGTTTCAGCGAGCAGAGCTAATCCAAGTAAGAAAAGGACAGTGTTTACTCAAAAGCAGTGAGTGCATGACTATGCAAGTTCACGGGACAGATTTCCCAATGCCTTGAGAGCAGTGCTGAGAAACAGCACCACTGCTTTGCTGTGACCCCAGGGAGAACCTTTTCTCCTGCCACAGCATAAAAAAGTACTGATTCAGGCATTGAACTGCTGGCCTGCAGGGAAGTGTGAAACTAGTGCTGGCATCTCCCTCTCCAAGATCCTTGTTTTCCTTGTGAGGCTGCCTGAGATGTCATCTGCCTGCAGAGTATGACTGAGAAGTGCTTTGCACACCTGTGCCCAGTGGTGCTGCTCTCTCCTGCCATGCACTGTCCACCTCCCTTACTCCTCCACCCTCCTTGTCCTACAGTCCCATGGGCTCATGCAGGACATGCAGTGACATTTTTTGCTTGTTCTTCACCTCTGGGAGCAGGGAATTAGCCACAAACTGGACAGTCACTCAAGAGCAATTGTTTAAAAATAGAAAGCCCAGACTCAGCACTGGCTCGTCATGGTTTCACTCTTGCTTTTACTGATATAAAGCAGAAACAACTTTACAGAGGGAAGGATGCTACACCTTCTGGGAAATCAGAGCCTGCTCATATAGCTACCGGGCTCTTCAGGCCAGATCCAGTTTCCAATCCTTTTGGCCAATATACTTCTAGTATAAATTGGAAGATGGGGAAGGGATTAAGATATAAAAGAAAGGGATTATGATATCAGATCTATGTGGCAGGAGTAGTATTGAAGAGATAAAGCACCAGTGCCCTTTTTGTTGAGGGACTATTTTCTGTGCAGCAGTTGAGCCTTCTCCTCTTGCCTTACTGCTTTGTTCATGGTCCAGCCCTTCGGAGTGATCCCAGAGTCAGTCCTTTGTGAAAGGTTGTGCTCTTTATTTATTTTTCCCCATCAGCAAAGCATAAAGGGCAAGGCCTGCATATTTTTTTTCCCACTAGTTTCCTGCTCTCCCAGCACTGTATTCTGTGCTGCTGCTGGCAGGACATCATGTTATTGCTACAGCCGACCAAATGCAAACTCTCCAGCATTGTTGTTTATCACTTAATCATGTTGAGTACGTTCAGTATGTGTGAAGGGCCCTGAGAAATCATGTTTGCATTTATTAGTCTCCACTAATCTGGAAAAGGCTTGGATTTGACTTTACCTGTTGGCATGTGGGGAATTATACCATTCCCTTCTACTCTTGTGTTCTGGTGAAGTCTTAAATAGTCTCTCCTTGTGTAAAACAAAACAACTCCCCCCAGGCAAAATGCTGTGGCCAAGGGATGAGGGTGGTGTGGTGGGGGGGTGGGGGTGATGGGAGAAAGGGGTGGGAAGGGAGGGGTGGGGTGGGAATAAGTTAGGACAGTATCCTGATAGCTGGAGAACAGTTACAGTTCTTTCAAAGAGCAGCTTCTTATTCCTTGATACAAAGTGATTATAAATAAAACCCCAACAGCAGCAATGCTTGCAGAGAGAAAACAGCTTCCCACCTCCCACACTCACTTATGACTAGGACAGCATCTGTGATATTCAGCTCGGCTTTTGCTCATCTAACACTGCACAGCCCTGTTTATGCACAAACTGTCCTATGCTGTTGCTTTCTCTTCAGAGCATAAGAGATTTTGGGCAGCTGAGGGAAACGACAGGAGTAATACTGTGAAAATTGCACAATTTGCACCGTTGTTTGTCCCCTTACTCGAGATCCCTGTGAAAACAACGCCTGCTGATGATCATCAGAGGAAGAAAACAAATCTTGGTTTCCCTTTCTGCAGGCACCCTAGGAAGAAGCTGCCACTTGTTTCATAACGTGCTGCAAAACAACCCTCTACTATTACAGAAGGTGCTGGCCACAGGCACTGTACAACTGGGGGTGCTGGGACAGCAGTGCCATCATCATTCACTTCCCAATAATTATTTCCAGTACTGACTTATCAGGTACAAAATGCATTTCAAGAGCTGGAATTCAGAATACAAAGGACTCTTTCTGAGTATTTGTTTTCTTCACTAAAGAAGTCTCAGTTTAGCACACTGGCATTGGGCAGTCGGTGCTGAACCCACTGTGTAAGTTTTGGGATTAGCATACGCTTGGGAGCTGTTTGTAAATGTGAATTTGGAGGTTAATGCAGTAGCTACAGTAACACCCTTTGAAATTCTGCAGCATCAACTGCAAAAGCTGCCACTTTGCCCACTGTGAAGGTCTGTCTAACTTTGTGTTGAAATGCAAGTGTTTGGGTACGGCCCTTGTTTCCACCGAAGTCTTATCAAACCAGGTGGATGGGAGGAAAGGCATCCATGGTCCTGGTTCACCCCAGCTTGGGGAAAGCAGGCAAAACAGCTACAGGGAGGAAAGCAGAACTGTTTTCAAGGAGCTTTGATTAGGCAAATATCTCTTAGGCTTGAGTATACTCATACAGACCTTGAGTTTACCAAATGTGCTCTAACGGAAAAAAACAGAGATAAGAATTGTAACCTGACACTCAGTTTAGCCAGTGTTCTCTAACAAATCCAGATAGATGATCAATCAGCTTCTCAGGGCCTTAGCAGCATGAATTTGTCACCTTGAAAAGACAAGTTTTGCAAGGAATCTTCGTTGGTTGCACTGTGATGCTACTAGAGTGCAGCTGCAGAAGCTGATTTTATGGCTGCACAGACATGCATATTTACAGATGTGAGATTGTTGAAAGATCACCTGAGGGTCTTTGTTCATGTTGTAAAAAGGCACAAGTGTGCCTGGGGTGATTCTTTTAAAACCATGTGTGGAAACCTGTTTGAAAATGTACCTGTTTGAAAATGTAAATTGTCACATGCACATTACACCAGCATTATGGGCAATTCTGTTCTCAATTATGGATGAATGAATACATCTTCAGATGCACAGATTGACCTGCAGACAAAGTGCAAGGAGAAGCACAGAACCATTGTCCAGAATCACAGAACCAACCCAGAATGATCTGGGTTGGAAGGGACCATAAAGTTCATCTAGTTCCAATCTCCGTGCCGTGGACAGGGATGCCACACACTCAATCAGGTTACTCAGAGCCCCGTCCAACCTGGCCTTGAACAATTCCAGAGATAGGGCATCCAGAACATCTCTGGTCAACTTGTTCTGTTGCTTCACAACCCTCTGAGCAAAGAATTTCTTCCTAACATTTAATCTACACCATTGCCCCTTGTCCTGTCACTATCTGACCATATAGAAAGTCTTGCCTCTTCCTTTTTATAAGCCCCTTTAGGTACTAAAGGGCTGCTCACAGTGACTTCCTTTCCCAGCCTGTGATCGTGCCTGGGATTGCCCTGACCCAGATGCAACATTTTACACCTGGACTAACTTGGCTGGTTAGAAGCAAGTGGTGCTAGTAATGCCAAGGATGCAGTTTCGATCCCCATATGGGCCATTTGCTCAAGAGCTGGACTTGATGATCCTTGTGGGTCTCTTCTAGCTCAGAACATTCTATGTTTCTGATGTTTGTTTTTTAGTTGAACGTTATGAGGCTCTCGTGGGCCCACTTCTCATGCTTGTCCGAGTTCTGAAGTACATATCCCTTAGAAAATGGCTTTATTTCTGCAAACTGTGATTCATAGAACGTTCTTTTCTTGAAAGTGAGTAGTCTACTCATCCTGGAAATGGATTGATGGTACTTGTGGCTTTTGCTCCAACAAGATGGTAGGAGCATAACTTGACATTTGGAAA